GGAGGCGGAGGTTGCAGTGAACAGAGATCACGCCACTGCACTCCAGCCTGGGCAACAAGAGCAAAACTGTGTCTCAGAAAAAAAAAAGAGAAAAATCTCTCCAACTTTCCAAGCATCAGCTTCCCAACGAAAGGCTGTGAGTGAGGGGACCGTTCCGGGGAGAGGCCCAGCCAGTGCTCCACATAGGAGAGGTTGGCTCTGGGAAGCTCTATCACCACCCACCCAGGCTGGGACTCTCCCCTTATAGAGTCCGTCTTTCTCCTACCATCTGCTGCTTCTCAGAAGTGAGGGGGCTGACCTTTTTAGTCCATGAGCCTCATAGAGATTAGACATTATCCCAAGTCACAAACTGGATTACTTCCTGTCCCAACGGAAGAGTATGGCCAAGCTGAATGTCTGCCTCAGTGACTGCTCATGAAATTCCCGAGTGTTTGTACATGTGTGCTTGGGCCTGCCTATGTGTATGTGTGCCTGAGTCTGCCTGTGTGTGTTGGGGGAAGAGGGACAGGTCCGTTCTCCTGGGTGAGGCCCACAGCTGTGGGGAGTCCCCTAGGCCTTGGGCAAGGGCTGCTGAGGAGCTGTGGCCTCTGTGACCACCCAGCCCTCATTCTCATACATTGGGAAAGGTCACTTGTTGGTGAAGCGGGGATGACAATTCCTGCCACCTCCTTGCAGAAAGGAGATCAAATTTGGAGGTGCTGTGGACGTATGTGATTCCACACCAGGCTCTTACAGAAAGGCAGAGGAGCCTCGGGCCTGGCAGGGGTCCTGAGCAGACTGAGCACCCAGTTCAGGGTAAGAAGGGGACTTGGCTCCCCTGGACATGGCCCTATCCTGCCCCAGGCCTCTTTGGGACCACAAGGGTTAAAGTTACCTCACCACCAGAATCCATGAGATAATAGACTCTGCTTCCTGTGATAACCTGGACAGGGTGTTTCTATTTTTTAATAGAAAAGTTGCTAGTGTCCCGGTCATTCTTACAGTTTCACCAAAAACAAAGTGGGAAGTGACATGTACTCTAAATTTTATTAAAAGAAAAAATTCTTAAGAAGAGGGGACAGGTACAGTGGCTCCTGCCTGCATCCCAGCACTTTGGGAGGCCAAGGTGGGCGGATGGCTTGAGCCCAGGAGTTGAAGGGTGCAGTGAGCCGTGATCGCACCACTGCATTCCAGCCTGGGTAGCAGAGTGAGACCCTGCCTCTAAAATAAAAATAAAATACCTAAATAGCTTAATCGTTTTACTGTGGAATTCATTTTCAGAATTTTCTCTCAAAATTATAACCTCAACTTAATCTCTCTTTATAAGCTAATTTTGCCAGATACAAAAATAATCTCTCCATTTAAAAGCACTGTTTACAGATGCTATACCATAAAGACATAAAAGTAAGGTTTTTCTGAATTGGGAAACCCCTGAGGAGACAGTGGAGGGCTGCAGCCAGCACTGGGACTGGAGTGACACTGCTGTGAGCCAAGGAACGAGGCAGCACCCAGGAGCTGAGAGAGGCCAGCAATGGATTCACCCCTGGAGCCTCTGGAGGAGGCACAGCCCTGAAGGTACCTTGATTTGGGCTCAGTAAAACCGATTTTGAACTTCTGGTCTCCAGAACTGTGAGAGAATACATTTCTGTTGTTTAAAATCAGCATGTTTGCAGTCATTTGTTACAGTAGCCGGAGGAGACAAACACACCAACCAAGACAAAAGATGGTGATGTCAAGGTAAGGGCACCTTCTGGCAAGAACTAAGAATTCTCCAATTCTTCACCGTGATTGCTTTTCTTCCCCCTCCCTCACAGATGACTAAGTGCAGTGAGTGAAGCACAGGGATGATTTACGAATTCGTGATGGGAAGCACAAATCCTTTCTGCCAAATCCCCATGAATGCAGGGTCCATGCTGCCACACCCTGGCTCACGCTGTCCCTAACCCAGCATGCCTGCCACCCCCCTTCTCTCTGCAGAGCTCATGCTTGTGTCCAGTCTTTGTGGCACCACCCCAGGTCTCTCCTTTACTTCCTAGGAAAGTCAGTTCCTGCCTCTGTTGCGCAGAGTCCCATCAGTGAGTGAAGCAGCTGGGAGGGGCTGGGAGAATAGGGGAGTTTGTGTCCATAACTCAAGGGGTCACCCAGGCCCTATTTGGAAATAAGGACTCAGGGTTGCTCATCTTCAGATTTTATCAAGGGAAGCCAAAACTCCCACCTACTTACATCAAATCTCCCAATTTTGTACTTTGGTAACTAATATAGGAAAAGGTTTAAACCCTGTGCACCAAACAAAAAGATGTCTGTCTTCCTGGATCAGCCAGTCCTCTACCAGGCTGTAGCCCGTGCTCAGTCCTTTCTTGGCAGCAGCACTGCCCTAATGGCAGCATTTCTTGGCAGCATCCCGTCCCTGCTGGTGACCAGTTTCTAGACTGGCCCTGCAGCTCACCTGCCCCTTCTTTGAGGGGAGGACCACGCCCATGAGATCTTCAAGTCCTCTAGGGCCTGGAAAACAGGACATTTCCACTAGTGGCTGAATGAAAAAGGAAGAAAAGCAGAGAGAGAGGGAGGAAATGCTGGCAACTTTCAGATGTCTATAAAACCTAAGTGTCATGGTTTTTGAGAATCATCTGGTGTTTGTAGAGGATCAACTATTGTCCTGGCTTCCCATGGGAGAAGCAGCAGGATAAGGGAGAGCAAGACATAATCTCAGCAGGGTCACTGGCCAAGTGATAAGGAAGGGCCTTTGGTCTCTGTGCCTGTGGGAGCAGCCCAGGAGATCTGAGACATGAGGCCTGCTCAGACACCAAGTGTGCACAGACTTCGCAGGACCTCAGCTTCCCCAGCATAAAGTGAAGAGCTTACTGGGTTCTTTCTAGGAGCATCTTCATGATTCTTGCAGTATCCTTGTACCAACAGCACAATCATTACTCCTTTTTTCTGTAGAAACTGATTAAATTTTCAAAGATGTAAATGAATTCATGATGAAAGAAAACAACCATAAAAGGAAAATCAGTATCGTTTATCATACATTCTCAGACCATCATCCCCCCTAAAACAGATCAATGTATTCAATTCTAGCCAAATGCTGCTGCCTGCTCTGAGCCAGGAACAGCTTCCCCTGTGCAAAGGATACTTGGTAAGTGTCACAGAGATGTTAAGGACACAATACCACCAAGTTGAAACTTTCTCCTGATGTTCTTGAAAAGGAAATAACTTTCCCATGCAGGGATTCCGTGACTTCCTGCGGAGCAGCGCCCTCCCCACTCCCCTACCCTGACCCCAGCCCCAAATCAGCAAATCTGGGAATTCTAAGAAGGAACCTATCCCAGCACACACTCTGATTCTGGCTCCAAGTGGGCACCCCATGGACTGCAGCCACTCCTGGGCCCTGCGTGTCCTTTGGGGACTCAAGCTCCTTCTCACATACAATCACAAGTCAGTACCAGAAGATGTGAGGATACAGGTGGTCACACGCGAAGCTCAACCTTTCCCTAGGAGAAAACATGTGTGTGGCCCTTTAAGAAGCAGAATAAAAACACTTGTGATTTTGTGAGCTAGAGGAGGTAGAGCCCCCCAAAGCTCAGAGAGACTTGGGAAAAAGCCAGATGCCAGTAGGAAGGAGGATGGCAGGCAGGGGTGGCAGTCGGGGCAGAGGGGCATCCGAAAGGTGGGGGAAGGGGAGCCTCTGGTGCTGGGGGGCAGACTCTCCTGTTCAAGGGTCTCCTGCACAAGTCTGGCTCCAAGGTCAACGGTTTTGGCCAAGAGTCTTGAATGCCACACTGAGAGGTTTGGAACCTGCAGGGCTTTGAGATCTGGCAAAACTGCCACCTTTGCCTCATCTCTGTCCCCAGAAAAACCCCAAAGGTGGCCCTATATATGGCGAATGACGTCTGGGAGTACGAGATTTTAGCTGAGGGTTCAGGAATTTCAGTGGATGCCTGTTGGGCGTGGGAGAGGCTGCCTCCCAAAGCAGGCAGTCCGCTCCATCTAGGTTGTTCCCTTCTGCTGAGCTGCTGGCCTCGGAAACAAGGCCTGCACAGACCTTGGCCAGGGCTCACAGCGGGCGCACCCCACCCTGGCCCTCAGCAAAGTCAGAGAGAAGCCTTTCATGGCTTCAAAAGTTCCTCCAGGTCCTCCAGCCACAGGAGGCTGGAATGGGTAACTGAATCCTACTCAAGGGAAAAAAAAAAAAAAAAAAAGAGCACAGTGACCTTTTGTCCCAGCAGAAGTTCCCGGCTCTCTCCCGGCCAACGGAGGCGGCCCAGCCAGGAAAGTAAAGAATTGCAGATGTGCACTCAGGGCTGGGGCCACCCTCCCCACAGCCCCGCAGCCAAGCGGGACAGCGCAGGGCCGCCTCGGGAATCCGACGCCCGGCCCCCCCTCGTAGCTTCGGGCCGAGGCTCCGGCAGTGACTGCCTCTTCCCCGCGCAAAGAGGCGGCAACACGGCACCAACCCTTTTGGGGAGGAGAGGTTCACAACGGGTCGCGAGGAGGACGCGCAGGCACTGCCCCAGAACACTGACGCCGCGAGGGCGACCCGGTGGGCTGCGGGGACGGCAGGGCGGGGTCGCCTGTCGTCTCCTCGGTGGGCGCGGCGGGCTTAGCCGGGATGGGCGCCCCGCACCCGGATGCGCCGGCCTGCCCGTGGCTGTCTTTGTGAGCGACTGGGAGAAGTGGAGGAAAGCGGCTTCGGTGGGCATAATGTAGGGACCCCTCTGTTACGGGGTCCAGGTCGGACCGGACCAAGTTCCTCCCTCCGTGAGGACCAGGCCTGGGTCCCCTTCTCTATGTCCGAGACCGAGAGTCGGGCTGGGCATCCCCCTCCCACACCTCCGAGACAGCCACTCGAGAAACGGGGTGAGGGGCAGGCAGGCCCGGCCGACAACAGCACCTTGGTCGGGGCCCGGGGCGGATCCGCTTCCCCAGCCAGATCCTCGGCGCCAGCTCGGGGGCGGAGGCGCTGAGAGGCTGCGGCGCAGGGACCCGGGGGAGGAGACGGCTCGGGCGGGCGCGGCACTTACCGCACATCGTGGTTGCTGCTCGGGCCCCTTCGTGGTTCGGGGGATTTGCTGGCTCCAACGCTGTGGCCAGTCCGTGGGCTCCCTGTGCTACGCGAGCTCCAGCTCCCGCCGCTCCGCCTCCCCCCTTATAGCGCGGAGCCCCTCCGAGAGGGGCGGGGCAGGGGAGGGGCCTGTTCCTCCTACCTGCTCCCATTGGCCTCCGGTTGTCGTGACAACGGCGGGACCCGCGCCCCGGGAGCCTCGGAGTGGGCCGAGGGGCGGCTCTCAGGCGCCAGTCGGGCCTTTAAGGCTAGGGCGCCCGGCGCCGGATCCCGGAGGTGGGCTTGTGGCCACAAATGGCCGAGTCCAGACCCCGACCCAGCCACGGAGTTGGCGTGGAAGCCGGGCAGAGCCCAGTAGCTCTGTGCCTCCGCTTTCCCGTCTGTGAAACGGGGCTACCCAGGGAAGCTCCTTCCCAGGGGGTGGGGAGCATTCAGACGGTCTGCGTAAGGCGCAGAGCGCGGGGTCTGGCATCACTGGCGCGCTCAGGAAACCCGCGTGAGCCGCTGTTCCTGCCGCGCTCACATCTGTGTGACGGGCTTTTTTTCAGAGCTCCAGAAACCTATAAGCCTGGTTCTCACCCTGCATGGAGAGAACTCCTGGGCTTGGCGAAGAGATGAGAAAACTGAGGGTCCTGGAGACAGAAAAGGACTTTGCCAAAATCGGACAGCCGCGGCGGTGGCAGTATTCAAACCTGAGATTTACCGCAGAGCCCCATCTTGGAGGCCAGGGTTCCGCAGGTTGTGAACAAAGCAGGAGGGGCCCCGGGAAGCCCCGACCCCACCCGTGTCGAGCTGCCCCGGCAGATCTGTCCTGCGCTGCAGGCCCTCGAGGGACCCGGGGGCTCCTCCGCCTGGGGCCGGAATCCGACCCCTCAGTGAGTCACCGAGGCCGGCGTTTCCCCGCTCTGGTTCCCGTCCGTCCCTCCCCTTCCCCTGCACTCTGGGCCCCTAGTCTCCCGGGGAAGGTCACGAGAACTGGCCCAACGTTTGCGCACTTTGAAGCCATCTGTTTTTTTTTTTTTAACTTAAAAAAATCCTGAAATTCTAAACAGATCCTCCTCAGTCTTGTCACACAAAAAAAGATTTTTATATCTCATCTAGAGCATTTTTTTTTCTGACATAATCTCTCCAGTTTCACCACGGCTCTTCAAGTCCTGGGGGAAGAAGGTTGTGCCGTTGGAGGGTTGAGAAAACTGAGGCTCCACTACAGTGAAGGAAGGGGTTTGGGTGAGTCGTGGTGTTTGGAAATCTCAGAGCGCTTCAGGAGCCCGCGCATTTGCCCCCCAACCCTCCACTATGCAGGGTCTCTTTCCTTCCTTCCTTCCCTTATTCCTAAGCAACCACTTCACGCCTGTCGGGGTGCCGGTGCTAGAGACTTATTGATGAATGAGAACAGATCTGGCCCTGCCTTCCTGACACTTACAAGTGAAGGGGAAGCAGACACTAAGCTCTGGTTACACAGACAGCTAAAAATTCCAGGTAGGATACAGTGAGGGGGCTGGGCTCTGCCGGGGACTGGGCAGGGCTGTGCTACGCTGGTGCAGGTGGTCCAGAGCCTAGCGAAGCCAGGAAGGAGGGAGCAGCGGGGGGTGCACAGGTCCCCTGGATCAGGGCTAGAACTTCAGTCCGGAGATCAGGCTGTTTGGCCCAGACTGGCCTTCACTGTCTGTAACTGAGGTGGGGACAGGGTGATGTCGTCAGGCCCTCTGCTAGCACCAAGACCCCAGGATTCCTGGGGTCCTAGGAGGGTCCAAATCTGTCTTTCATCCTCCTGGAGGAGTCACAGCTCCGCGGCGAGGAATGGCATGAGTGCACACTACCTGTGGTTGCCTCTGCAGCAGCTGCCGGCTTAGCATCACTCCTGCTTTGAGCACCAGCCCGTTGGGAGTCATTTGGGAGGTTGATGGCCTGGGTCTGGCCAAATAGCCTTGGCACTAGTTCAGAGGTCAGCATGTGGCCCAGGCTGGGACACTGACAACTCGATCCAGGACATGAGGGAAACCAACAGAAAAGATGAGCTTGGCCTGTCACAGTGGCTTGGGTCAGTCATCCCAGCACTTTAGGAGGCCAAGGCAGGAGAATTTCTTGAGGCCAGGAGTTGGAGACCAGTCATCACTACAAAAAGTAAAAAATAAAAATAAAAAGCCAGGTGCACCGGGAGCAATGACTCACGCCTGTAATCCCAGAACTTTGGGAGGTGAAAGTTTGGGATCTTTTGGGATTGCTTGAGCCCAGGAGTTCGAGACCAGTCTGGGCAACACAGCAAATCCCCGTCTTGACTAAAAACACAACAATTAGCCGGGCATGGTAGTGTGCACCTGTAGTCCTAGCTACTGGAGAGGCCAAGGGATGAGAATTGTTTCAACCTGAAAGGTGGAGGCTGAAGTGAGCCGAAATTGCAATACTGCACTGCAGCTTGGGCGACAGAACAAGACTGTCTCAAAACAAAAACAAAAACAAACAAAAAACCCAGGAGTGATGGCATGTGCCTGTAGTCCCAGCTACTTAGGAGCCTGAGGTGGGAGGACTGCTTGAGTCTAGGAGTTGGAGATCAGCCTGGACAACATATTAAGACCTTGTCTCTATAAAATAACTTTTTTTTTTTTTAATAAAAAAGATGAGCTTATCCTCTCCTGAGTGGTGGGGCTGGTAGGAGGATGTCCTGATGATGTTGGGGACTTTCTCATCACCTTTGCAGTGGGGTGGAGAGAGGAAGCCATTGAAGAGTGAAGCAATTGGAGCAAGGCAGGTGATTCTAGGATGGAGATGACACACATCAGAGCCCCTGGATTCAGCCAGGTCTGAAGCCAGGATTTATCCCTGGACTTCTCAGTATTAGGGCTCAATAGATTCTCATCTTTGCTTGAGGTACTCTGAAGTTGACTTCTGTCATTTGCAACCAAGTACAGTCCTGACTCTTTGATTGTGCTGGAACTAGAGTCTGAGGTCCAAGGGAGTGGTTAGGAAGGCAGCCAGAGGAAGCCAGGAAAGGAGACCTGGTCTGGATCAGGGGGCCCAGGCTCTGTCCTTTTGAAGGAGTGAAGATATGGGGCCATGCCTAGGTGCCTCTCAGCTGGTCCCCATACCTGTGCTTACAGGGGGACCAGGGTGCTGAGTCTGCTCCCAATGGTCCTAGTGTCCACTGCCCAGGCTGCTCTCCACAGCTGGCCCCAGCCACGCTTTCTAGGCGTGCCTCAGCCCCACTGGCCAGCAAGTGAGCCAAAGACCTGGCTGCTTCACCTACACAGCTTTTCCCAAGCACTTGATAGTTGGGAGATTTGCTCATTGATCTGGCTTCTCCCAAACAACCCAGAGATCTGCTCCCCTTCCCCAGGTGCTACCCCCAACACAAACTGCCCAGCTGGGTCCCATGGCTATCCTGGTAGCTGAGGAATGCACCTGCCATCTTCTGGCCACAGGCCCTGTTTGGCTGCTTTTCCCTGTGACATTTCTGCTAGGGTCTGGGGAGGGTTATGCTGCCCACAGTAGGGTGAGGGCCTCCTCCAACTCCTATGGGGTCCAGGCTGGACTTTTGCCAACTCTCATGCTGTCATCAGGGTCCTCTCTACCAGTTTCCACCAGCCCAGCTCTGCCTGAATCTGGCTGGGCTATGGCTGCAGGGTGACCTGGGTTGGTCACTTGTTCTTCCTGATTCCCTTTTGCCCTTCCAGATGTAAAAATGCGAGGTACATCTCAGTGTGGCCCAGAGACACAGCCCAGCTCAAGGACCACGGGGCCTCCTGAACTTCAGCAGAAGGCCCAGATGGTGCTATTAGGAGACAGGGCCTTTGGGGAGGTGATTTGGTGGTGAAGATGGGGGGTGCAGGGCACTGAAGCCTGCAGCTGGGAGTCCTGCACTGGATCACTCCACGGCGTGGGGAGGGAGATTCTAGGGGAACCACTTAGTGGTGCCCACAGTGGGGAGTGGGTGGGGTTCAGGGAACCCAGGGGAGACATCACAGATGTCATGACTCGGACGAGTGTCCTGCCTCAGGGAGGCCGATCCTTAGCTCAGACTTAAGATGATGGGGCACCAGGAGTAGCAGGGATTAGGGCCAGGCCTGGGTGTGGGGCAGGAAGCCATACTGCTCCACCCACCACCCCGCCCCTCTTGAGAGGCTGGGATAGGGTGGATGGGGCATGAGTAGGGCACACACAAAAAAATCCCATTAGGGAAAATCTGAGAAAACTGATCTGGGGTCAGGATTCAAGGACAGCTAGAAGAGGAGAGGCAGGCAGGAGCCGAGGCAGGAATCCTTCCAAGAAGTAGGAAGCTTGTCTGGGGCCTGGGAAAGGGGCAGGGTCATGTACCTCAGGTTTTGTCCTGTAGATGGCTTGGTCACCAGCCCCCACCACCACACCAGGGCTGAGGTGAGAGAGGGCCACACCCAACCCCTGTTTTCAGGCAGGCCGAGGTGCGCAGTGTCCCTCTCTCAAGTTCCTGGGTGACATGGACCTGTTTTACCTTCTTTCTCTCTCCTGTGGGAATTTGGGAGAAGGTCGGCCACAGAGCTAAACTGATGTATTCTTTTATGACTGTAGGGTTTTTTGTTTTTTTTTTTTAAATAGAGCTAACCGTACATTTTATAACTTTTTTCTATTTTTCTTTCTTTTTTTTTGAGCCAAAGTTTCACTTTTTGCCTCAGGCTGGAGTGCAGTAGTGCAATGGTAGGATCTCAGCTCATTACAACCTCCGCTCCCCTCAGGGTCAAGCAATTCTCATTCCTCAGCTTCCCAAGTAGCTGGGATTATAGGCGCCTGCCACTACGCCCAGCTGATTTTTTGTATTTTAGTAGAGACATGGTTTCACCATGTTGACCAGGCTGGTCTCTACTTCCTGAGCTCAGGCAACCCACCCATCTTAGCCGCTCAAAGTGCTAGGATCACAGGCATGAGCCACCACGTGCAGCCTGAGCCACCGTGCCTGGCCAACTTTGTTCTTACAGAATAAATACATGTTCATTTCAGGAAAACGTTGAGTTATTAACCCTTTAAAAACAAAAATCATTTCTTGTTTTTAAAGGGTTAATAACTCAAGAAATGTTTCTTGTTTTTAAAGGGTTAATAACTCAACTTTTTACCCCCAACAAATGTTATTCTCCACATCTATAGTCAGTATTTAAACTTGTGGCTGGAGTTTGACCTCTGGTTAGTAAGAACTTCAAAT